CATATTATCATGAATTCAAACTGTAGGGCTCAGTCTCCAGGAGTATGGTTACTGCAGTATATTTCTTTATCATTTAACCACAATTCTCATTGTTTTATAGAAGGGTAGAACTTTCTCTTTTGGTTACGTAGTTAATGATACTGGTATATACATTACAGTTACACATTGCTACTATCTATGGTACTAATGGCTACACATCTGTTGTCTAACTGATGGCTTCTATTTGCTTCTTGGAGAAAAAGAATATGCTGAGCATATGGTGTAGCTGGATTTATTTCTTTTTGTATCAGTTGTACCTTAACAAGTTAATGACATTGTGATGTGTATCAAATAAACAGGTTCAAATTTCATCAGACATACTTTTTACATAACACAGCTTTTAATCATTTAATTTTGAAGTTTAAAATTATGTAAAAGTAGTTATATGCACAAGTATGAAAGAGCAAAATGTTCCCCAGAACTTTATATGTATCACTCAGTGATAAAACTTTATAAGATAAAAGTATGCATATTAAGAATTTATAAAAGGATCTGATGAAGATTTTGATCTATAATTTTGCATTACTTTCAACTGAGAGTCTGTGCATTTATTTCTCAGAATCCCAGAATACTCTACTGACATGACCAAATAAACCTATACTGCATCTTTATCTTTGTCAGTATAATCTTTTATGCAATATGGTAGTCCTTAGGGAGCGTTAATTGTTAGCTATCTCTTAGCTACTTAAAGGCAATCTTGGAACAATTACCATGTATTTATGGGAATGAGGCATTCATTTCTTTATTGCCTTTCTCCTAAAAATCCCATAGCATTTGAGTTAAGAAGACAACAGTATAAATATGCTCATTTATCTTTGCGGGAATTATTTTCTCCACCTCCACCTCCCAGCATCGCTACAACGCCCTTATATGGGGTTCATGCTAACAGGTTCAAATTACTATGGTTATTGCCACTCAAAAGCATACTGAATATACCTTTCTCAATTATTGTCTTCTCTCTCTCTTTTTTCTAAAATGAAACTAGGAACTTCACTTAGGAATCATACAAACTAAGCTATGTAAAGATCCCTGGTCTCAATTTTAGACAAGATTGCCAGAGATGTAGAGCAATCACTGTGTTAACTGTTTGGATGTTTTTTTGTGAAATAAACTGAGTGTTTCAAACTGGCAGACAAGAGCCATAGATTACCTAATTAAACCTATTCAGTTAATTTAGAATAAATAATTCCTACTACTACATAGGGCCAGATTATATAATAACTATTCTATATCTAATAAAATACATCAGAATACATGAAAAGTTCACAGAATATGATTTATCAAAGGTAAAAAATAAAGATACAATCTTTGAATTTAGTGTTGGACACTTATTTCCAGATATTTCATGCATAAATATGCATGTGAGGACTTTAACAACATACTTAAATTATTTTAAATGCTTTGCTAAGAATCATAACCTAACTTTAAAATTGTCTTCTTCCTTCCAGAGAGATTAAAAACAGAAGGAGTACCTTGAAATGTTCATGTTACAGTAATGACAAAGAAGTCAGAAAATATAAAAGAAGTAATTAGCATGTTGTTTCTTCTCTGCTTCTTTCTTTTACATGATTTTTTTTTTGCTAGCTATCGAGGCATATCTGGATCTCTCCAAATTTTACATACTAGAGATAATTCCATACCTAAATATCTTCCTTATTTTAAAAAAGTAATAGTGTGTTATTTTATTCACATTGTCATTTATTTTATGTCATTTAATTCAGAGAAGACAAAGTATAAAACTCTTGACTTATTCACTGTGATACAGCAAAAAAACAAAAAACAAAACACAAAACCCCATTGGTTTGTCAAACAGACTTCAGTTTGAACATCAGCCATGCCACTTACTATGGGTTAGAAGTCCTTATGTGGGTTAATTGACCTGTCTGAGCTTCAGCAGAAAATGAAGGTTCAGCAGATACTCATGAAGGTTACCATGAGAATGAAATCGTGAACTACATGGGTAGAGTTCCTGACACATAGTACCAATATTAGCTACCATGTAATATGGCTTACTATGAGTCCCATGCTATACTACATGCTTTATACATTTATAAAATTAATCCTTACAGCATTCCTATTAACTAAGAGTTATTTTGGCCCCATTTTATACATGTAGAAGTAAAGGATAGAGATGTTAAATAATTTACCTAAAACTGAACAAATCTTCAGTACCAGGAGTGGAATTCTAAGTGGGGCCATCTGTGTGGTTATCTACTGCAGTGTAATAAACTATCCAAAACTTAGCAACTTAAAACAACAACCATTTTCTTATCTCTCATGATTTTATGTGTTAACTGGACAGAGCTGGATGGATCCTCTGCTCCACAAAGTATCAACTGCAGCTGCAGCTACCTGGTGGCAGTGGTAGTGGGAAGGGGTTGTAAGTTGTAATGTCTGGGATGGTTCATCACAAGGCTGGCACTCAGGTACTATCTGCTGGGAGCTCAAGTAGAGCTGCTGACTAGAATGCCTCAGTTCTTCTCTTTGCTGTCCTGCATGTGGCCTCACCATATGGATTGGCTTCCCTTAGCATTGGAGGATGGGCAACAGGAAGGAGTGTTGCAAGAGGACAAGCTCCAATGTGCAAATAGGTAAGATGCCTCCACTTGCATCGCACTTGTTAATGTCCTACTGGCCAATGCTAGTCACATGGACAAGCCCAGAATCAATGTAAGACAGAACAACACAAGGGCATGAAGATGAGAAGGGTCTACTAAGCCCATTAAAATAACAGCCCACAGGAACAGCTGTCATCAAAAGCTCTCTTTTGTGCCCTCCAGACTATCATGGGTATCAGTAATCAGCATGTTGGTCAATGCTTTGTGAGAAGGACTTTGGAGCTTCAGACACAGAGTCAATTAAATGTTGTCAGCAAGCGTTTACACTTTCCTGCTTCCAAGTATAACATAAAATTTCAATTTCACTTAAATGATTATAAAAGAAACTTCAGTTTTATGAAAGAAAAATGAATCAAAGATTCAAAATTATTTTTATGAATTTTTAAATGCCATTTGTATTGGGTTTTATATGCTATAATTCATTAGTGAATAAAATAAGGAGAAATATTAAGCTTTATGCCTTATTATTACCCAAATAAAAGTGAATATTGCAATCTACTTCTTAGAGTATATGATTAATTTTAGGTTTTTAAGAAACTTTTTCGAAGAAATGGTTTTGATTCCACTATTTCTGTAAAAACAGGATTTTTATTTCAGAAACTGTAATCCTTTTCTGCATTTTGTATAAATTAAAATAATATAGTTCTAATGGCATTTATATAGACAGTTTCCATAAAGAACGTTTTGTTTAAAAGCTTTACTTTAGATAAAGCATTCTATATTTGTATATGAAATTTATTTCCAAAAGAAGTATTTTACCTTAATGACCCAAAATATTTTGTTTTTCCTATTAATATTGAAATTTAGGCAGCTTTAGAAGTGAATAGCTTATAGAAATTAGGGAAAAAATACATATGCCCCTTTACTTTTGATATATTACTTCAAGTTAAATTAGGCAAATGATTTACAGGTAATAAAAAACATTTCAAAGCTGTTTGGTGACCAATGCAAACTCTGATAATGTCATAGCCTAATATCAAGACTCTCAGGGGTGATAGCTGAAGATGATATTTGAACGAAGTTATCCCCTAAATGGCCATGATATTGCTACTAAGCCTTTTTTTTTTTTTAAGGAACTGAGCTAGATGTATAAAAGAAGTAAAGAAGATAACCAGTACTTACTTTTTGTGACAACACCTTCTAAACGAATGATATTTGGGTGGTCAAACTGACCCATGATACTAGCTTCTCTTAGAAAATCTCTTCTTTGCCGATCCACATGGCCACCTTTCAAAGTTTTGATGGCAACTGGGATCTCTCTTTTTCCTGGTGTCTTCAAACGCCCACTACAGACTTCTCCAAATTCACCTAAAAATATGAACAAAAGTAGTTAGTTGTTTAAACAGAATACTTATATTCCAGAAAAACTGAATGGTCATACAGTACCGTCTTTTTGTGTTTTAACATAATGACTCTGAAGTGTGTTATTTTTATATAGAGATCTCTTTCTTAAAAATTAAATTTGTAATGTCAATATGTTTGTCAGCATCATTTATAATGAATAATGGAATGCATTTTCATATGCTGTACCACAGGAACTACCATTGACAGATAACCCTGATCTGCTGAGAAATTATGACTAGCAGAATGGGTGATGCTAATGTAACTCTATAGAAAAACAATCACTGCATAACATTTCCTGTTCCTGTTCTCAATACCGATATATGGGCCAAATGCCTGCTCTGTTCAGGGAATCCATCAGGCATGTGTAGTTGATTTGATCCCATAGGTCATATGTCTGGGCTTCACTGCCACTAGAAATCAATGCTAGGGTCAACTGGTATATGAACATACTGAAAAACTACACTGAACATAACTATAGTAAGTGATTATACAGGCTAAGTTATAAGTCACATGGTTTGAATACAAATACAGTAAGATTATCCATGGTTCAGCAATGGCTCCATTGGGTAGATTAAATACTAGCCAAGTATTTATCATGAATTTACTACATATATCCAGTGCTAGAGTGCTGTGGATTTCAAAGAAGTATAAGACTCTCTGTTCTTAGTATAGCAGGTCTCTATTATAGTCTAGTACAAGACTTTAGATGAAACACGAAATAATGAAACACTTAGGAAACTAAGAACCAATTCCTGCAAATGCTGTATATAGTTAAGTAAAAAGAATGGGAGCTGGACACTTCTTGGAGGAGGTGGACTTCTGCTGGATGTTGAATGATGGGTAGGATTTGGATATTCAAGAATAGCATCAAAATTCTAGACAGAAGTACATGGAGTGAGGGGAGTGAAGACAAAGATTTAAAGGTCGGAAACAGTAAAGAGAATGATGTGGACACCGGACATTAAGGAGTCAAGGCTGAAGAGAGGGGTTATTGTGGAAAAGAATGTTGGAGGCTTTCTCAGCACAATGCAATAAATTCAATAAAGCTTGAGATTCCAAACTTAATTTTTCTAGGGCCAATTACCTGCATTTACTTAAGAGCATACTGCTTGATCCCAAACTTCTTCACCTATGAAGTGAACACAATAATAAAACCTTCCATAATTATACAATGTCCCCTCCACATAAGGATGCTGGGAAGATCAAAAGTGATAAATTTGTGAGAGTGCTTATAAACTGTAAAGTACTATTCATGTGCTTTAAGTTACATAAATCTTCAGAAGAGTGAAGAATGAAAATTAAAATATCTTCAGTTGGTTTATTAGGCAGCAGGTCTGGCCAAAAGCAAATGCTCTATAAGCTGAAGTGCAGAGGATCAAGTTAAATTTTTGTAGTACCTCAGATTTCAATTATCCCTATTTTCTTTAGACCAATTCATTATAGTCAACTAAATGTTGACTATTCATGAATATTAACTACCTTTTGGTATAGAAGCTAAGATTTTCTTGTAAATGAAAAAAAAACTAGAAAGGAATGAAGCCAAACTTTGCTTCCTAAATTATGTGTAAACATGTCCATTAGAAATAGAAAGCAGTCTAGCAAGAGCTTATTATTATATATATATATAGTCATATATATATATATTTTATATATATAGTCATATATATATATATATATATATATATATGACAAACAAACAAATAAGCAAACAAAAAACGCTGACTAGAATGTGGTCCGTAAATTCAGTGCATATGATATTGGGGTTTTACAAAACTTGCATAATTTGACATCAAAATAAGAATAGTCTTTTTTTTTTTCATAATGATGCTCTCAACCTGTTGGAAGTTAAATGTTTTTATGTTCACGGGAGAAAGAAGCCATAGCTTTCCAGTTTTGTTTGTAATAGTATTTTTGATTTTTTAAAGATTTTTCTATTGGACATAAAAAAATTGGAAACTGATAGAAATTTTAAACATTTTTCTATTGATACTCTGAACCTTGAGAGTAAAAGTACATGTACCTGTTTAAATTAATGTCTGATACAACCAGGCCTACTAAGATACTTGAAATTCCTTCTCACATCACTCTGGTTTGCTACAATGAATATCCAGAACAAGGAAAATACTTTTTCTTTTTATTTTGTCTTAAAAAATCTGTTAGTACAGCTAACAATTTAACAATATTTTAAAACCCCTCACCTGCCACAAGCCTAGACTGCAAGTGATTTTCTGTTAACATTTCGTAGTCATTCATACAAACTTTTGAACATAGTAAAATGAATAGCAAACTCTGTTGGTATTTTATCAAGATAGACATAGTGGCAATTTACTTTGGTTTTCTGTTGTCTGAAATTCATGTATCTTATTAACAGTAGGCAGGCGTTTTCTTCATGTCAAGCTTTGCGTTATCAAGCTGTTATCACACTTATTTCAGTGACACTAAATATGGCTGCCTCAATTAAAGATCTGAGACTCCTAGGGCATTCTTCAGTCAAAATCCAGAAAATTCAGTCACAGAATGTATTAAAACCCTTATCTGTGGTAGGCCTGGATGTATCAGACAAATCAGGCAGAGAGGAAGAAATATTTTAAATTAAATGTGTACTGTCAGATATCGCCAAAGACTGATCCATTATATGACTAAGTCTGTAGCACAAGTAGAGGACCTGTATAGAATAAGTAAGAGAATTCATTCCTTAATAAGATCTGTGAATGTTTATATATACTGGTTAGTTTATCATTAACTCATTGACTATAGGAATATTGTGTTAACTACCTTCTTTTTTTCTTTAACCAATCATTGTCACCATCATTATTACAAAGCCAGCACTTACACAGTGCTTATCATGAGCCAGGTCTAAAAACTTAATATATATTTTAATCTTGACAACAAATCTTTGAGGAAGGTACCATTATTATCCCCACTTTGCAGGTGAGGAAACTGAGGCACATGAGTTAAATAACTTGTCCATGGTGACATAATTAGAAGTGGTAGAGTTGTAATTTTAACCTAGGCAGTCTGGCTCCAGAATCCATGCTTATGATCACTATTCTCTGCTGTCTGGGATGCTTGTCATTATTAATGTTGTTAATACTTCCTTGCGTTACTATGCTAAATTCCCAATTGGTAACAATGGTGTCCTCAGATCAACTATTATACAGTGTTCAAACACATTTACTGGATATGCAAAGGTAGATGGAATGATAAAACCATATGCTAGGAATCGTTCACTATACAATGAAAACGGAGACCTAGCTTAATCATGCTGTATATTAGCTGGTCTGGAAAAATCAATACATCCTACCTAGTCTTAAGAGAGCAAAGAAAAATATATCTAGGCTAACTGATCTGCCACTGACAGCCCATGCACTAGCTCACAATACCAATCATCTCCCTGGATGGTGGTAAAACCTTTCTGGACAAGCAATTTTGTTGTATAATATACAGGGTCATATGAAAATATCAATTAGAATTGGGTTTTCCACATAAAGCCTATATAATCTAACTGAAACTGTGAGAGGAGAGTGGAGGCAATGAGGGGCAATCTGCCCTAAAGGACTGTCACTTCACCATCCCCTGGAGGCTTTCAGATATTTGACTCCAGCTGTTCTGAGATTCTGGTATTCCCTTACCTACCACCCCTTGAGAGTTGCTGAAGCAAAGAGCCACACTTCTGATTTTTTTTTTAAACTTACCTCTCAAATGTAATGAGGTGTTTCCTTCTTCACACGTGCTGTTTCCCTTTGATGAGGATGCTGCCCACAAGTTGCCCCCTTCCTCCCTTGTCTCCACCCTCAGTCCTTCTCTATGTGATGGCTTCTTATTAGCAGTAAAGGCCAAGCTTTGAGATCCCCCTTCAGAAACTTTCTCTGATTTAGTCCCCAACCACCATCAGTTCCTTATAAGTGAGAAAAAAATGGCAGCTCTACAATCAGAAGCTGGCCTGGCTCTCAGAGCTGGGCACTGTTATTCTCCTGTAAGACATGATACCAATCTCGACAAGGTTACTTTGAGACCTTGATAAAATGAGACTAAGCAAGGTTACTGTATAGCTTTGCCTAAGCATAGACAAAGGCCAGGTCACATATGTCCTCCTCTCTTGGCTAAAATGAATGGCTGCTCCTTCTCTACCAATTATAACCTTATTCTTGTTCTAGTCTCCCCTTCCTGTAGATAAGATTCACTAAGATACTATGGCATCAGTCCTATAGTTAAGGCCCAGTATTACGTGCTGCTTTGACATCTGGGGGGAAACCAGGAGGGCCTCCAATACCCTCACCGTAGGTTCTCCTCCTCACTCTACTCCCACAGATAAGGTCCTCCAGCCAAACAACCCTCCTTATCCCTGAATAGCAGATTTCACTTTCCTGCCAGTCTGTGGAATGATTCAAGCAAGCTGATCACATCCTCCTGAGGGAAGGCAGGGGGCACCCTACCCTCTTGATACTACAAAGCTTGCTTCCCAGAATCCCTGGCTGTCCACTCAGTTCTCAAGCATAACCCCTGAGTGGCCCTAGGTGGCATGTGGTGTTTTGCCTTCTCCCCTGGGGTCTTAAATGTATGTAATTTATAAATACCTGCTAATCGCATCTGTCCAATGTCAGGTGTTGCATATTTGGCAAACCCTGGGAGAATACGAGGCAATGAGAACAGATACTCAACCACAGTTTGCCACTGCTTCCTGACAGCATTTAATATGGAGCAAACTTCTGCTTCCTTAGACCCTCTCTCAAATCACCCAACCAAAGCCCAAATGCTTTAACAGGTTCTTTCTAACACCCTCACTCTGAGACACACTATGGTTCCCTAAGGTATGTATGTGTTTTCCCTCACTGAAATAAGCAGTACACCCAGCTTTTTCAACTATAGTGTGATTCTGGGGTCTTTGACTTGAGATTATTAGCATAATATATTTACTGCATGGCACTTTTGACTATGTGAAATGATCTTTGAAATTCATTTTT